TATTGGGTTAATATCATCAGCTATTTGAGCAGTCTTAGTGTCAGTCATTAAACCATTCAGTCAAAACTAAATCAAAACGTCCATCTCTTTCACCTATATTATCTATCATGTCTGACTGGAAGCCAGCAAGACCTCCTGGACAAAGCACTCTGAGATTGTCCAGTCCAGATATCTCCCACTTGGGCCACACAGAAAGCTACCATTTGCCTCCCATCTATCCATGGTTATATTAAACTTGCTCTAGACACAGAGCCTTTGTACCTGAGATACTCTGTTGATGAGAACTTCATTCTTTGATTTTGAATGGCTTCCTCCATTGCATTATTCAGATCTTAGTTGGAAGGACACCCCCACATCTCTGATAATTCTATTCTGACTACCCAAGATAAAAGTAGCTCCCTCCCAGTTGCATTCTTTCCAATTAACTTGCAAAACTTTCTTGACAATACTTCTCATCTAAAAATACTCCTATTTATCTATTTGCTCACATGTTTTCTGTCTGCTTCCTGCCAGAAAGGTGTCAGGCTCTTTATAGTAGATGGGGTATCTTCCTGTTGATTGATTTGTCTCCAGGATCTTGATCACCATACAGCACAATGTAGGCATTTAGTAAGTATATGTGAGTGGAGAAGGAATGAATGCATGTAAAATTCTCCAGCCACCAGCTGAACAGAAAAAGGCAGGTGTCATTTAAAAATAAAAAAGTACCTTTCTTGGAAGTTTTTGTTGGATTGTTGTCTTCTTTTTGCTTCTGAGAAAGTGCAAGTAAACTTGCTACAACTGCCTAAGGCTAGCATGACCCAATGAATCAGACCTGTTCAAAACGTCAGTCAACTCTATTTTGTGTATGACAATACACTCAAGAACAGTATATTTATGTGCCTCTTCTCTCTAAGCTAGGAGTTCTGAAGCAATTTGCACCAAAGGTTAACAACAAATTCCAGTGTTTGATATGTTGATTCCTGATAATGGAGGGGTGGCATCCTTCTTCTCCACTCTCTTGACACACACATACTCTTTCACCATTAATGAGCATGAAGGTTTGAAGTGAAATCTTTACTGCTGCAATTATTTGTTTGAATGCATGGAAGAGGTGGAAGCCCTGGTAATCCACTGCCCTGCATACAGCAGAAGCCTGGGTCTAAGAAAAAGTCTGTTGAACTGAGGCTCAGACTGATGCCTGAATTCTTATTTATTTCTTTAGAGACATGGTCTCACCCTGTCACCAGTGATATGATTACAACACTCCATCTCAAAAAATAAAATAAAATAATATATACTAGTATGCCAGAAGTGCTTTTTTTTTTTTTTTTTTTTTGAAATGGAGTTTTGCTCTTTGCCCAGGCTGGAGTGTAATGGCACCATCTGGCTAACTGCAACCTCTGCCTCCAGAGTTCAAGTGATTCTCCTGCCTCAGCCTCCCAAGAAGCTGGGATTACAGGCATGTGCCACCAAGCCCAGTTAATTTTGTATTTTTAGTAGAGATGGGGTTTCTCCATGTTGGTAGGGCTGGTCTTAAACTCCAGACCTCTGGTGATCCGCCCACCTCGGCCTCCCTAAGTGTTGGGATTATAGGCGCGAGCCACCGTGCCTGGACAAATTTTTTGTTTTAATCTGCATTTCTTTGATTTTAGTGAGCCTAACCTTATTTTTTCTATAGGTTTGAAGGCAACTTTTCTCTTTATAGAAATTAACCTTTTGTCAGCAAATTAAAATATTTTTCTCAATTTTTCTTTGGCTTTCAAATTTAATTATATGTGTTTTTTTTTAAAGGGAAAGTGAACAAAGAATAGCATTTGTATATTCAAATGTGTCAGTCCCTTTCGTTGAAAGTTCAGAGTCTACATTCTGTCTTTCCATTCGTTTTTTAATGTAATAAAATATAAATAAAAAATTTACGTTTTTAACCATTATTAAATGTATAGGTCAGTAGCATTAAGTATATTTGCAATGGCCAGGGGCGGTGGCTCAAGCCTGTAATCCCAGTACTTTGGGAGGCCGAGGCGGGTGGATCACGAGGTCAAGAGATCGAGACCATCCTGGTGAACATGGTGAAACCCCGTCTCTACTAAAAAAAATACAAAAAATTAGCTGGGCATGGTGGCACGTGCCTGTAATCCCAGCTACTAAGGAGGCTGAGGCAGGAGAATTGCCTGAACCAGGGAGGTGGAGGTTGCAGTGAGCCGAGATCGTGCCATTGCACTCCAGCCTGGGTAACAAGAGTGAAACTCCGTCTCAAAAAAAAAAAAAAAAAAATATATTTGCAATGTTGTGCTGTTATACCTGAGCGAGTTAGAAGGAAAGCCCACACTCTGATTTCCAATTGAGAGTCCTTTATTGGCTCACCCCTATAATCCCAGCACTTTGGGAGGCCGAGGTGGATGGATTGCTTGAGGTCGGGAGTTCGAGACTAGCCTGGCCAACGTGGCAAAACCCCGTCTCTATTAAAAAAAAAAAAAAGAGAGAGAGAGAGTTCTTTATTGCCAGCAACCAAGAGTCAGCTCGGAGCTCAAAATCTCTCAGCCCTGAAGAGGGGGACGGGGGATGTGATTTCCTTTTATACCTAACCTAGAAGAGAGGAGAGGGGGAGTCTAGCTGAAGCAGAATTTTACAGAAGCAGAACAAGCAAGTTAGTAGGAGGAAGCTGGTAACCAGGAGGCAGGAGGTTCCCATAGTTGCTGGTTACTAGGAGTATTTCTATACAATTATCAAGGTGGGTAGCAGGGGGGGCTTTCCATACAATCAATCACCAAGGGGGGATTTTCACAATAGCAGGTAGACTTGCCAAGCAGGATGAGGTTACAACAGTTATAGGTACTGAGAACAACATGACCCAAACCTCAACGGTTCAAGGCTTTGAGTACAGCATGACCCAGTAATGCACCTGACGGGGCTGTGGCAAGGAGGGTGAAGCTAAGCTGGAGCTTGTTAGGCTTATTTCTAAGATGGAGTCAGATTAGTTCATTTCAGTGCAACCAGCAAACTGAAACTCTATACCCATAAACAAAGACTCCCTATTACCCCCTACCTCCAGTTCTTGCAAGCCGCCATTCTATTTTGTCTCTATAATATAATTTATCTACTCTAGGTACCTCACACAAGTGAATCATGCAGTGTTTGTCCTTTTTGACTGGCTTGCTTCACTTAACCTGTTACCCTCTGGGTAAATCCATGTTGTAGCCCGTGTCAGAATTTCCTTCCTTTTTGAGGCTGAATAATGTTCCACTGTATGGATACTGTGTACACATACATATATCCATACAATGGAACATTATTCATTCATCCATTGATGGACACTTGGGTTGTCTCCATTTTTTGGCTTTTGTGAATAGTGCTTTTATGAACACAGGTTTATAAATATCTATTGAAATGCCTGCTTTCAAATGTTTGTGTATATCCCCAGCAGGAGAATTGCTGGATCACATGCTAATTTTATTCTCAATTTTTGGAGGAACTGTTATGCTGTTTTCCATAGTGGCTGCATCATTTTATATTCCTACCAACAGTGCACAAAGTTTCCAAGTGCTCCACATACATACCAATACTTATCTTCTGTTTTAGCTTTTTGTTTGTTTTGATAATAGCCATCCCAGTGGGTGTGAGATGGTTACATTCAATTTTGCACTTGGAAAACTCAACAAAAGCTAAGGACATGGCAGAGTATAATAAAATGTGTAAAAAAATAAGAAAAATATTTATTTACTTTGAATTTAATGGTATTTGAACAAGGAGATGTGCCAAGTACTTCTGTAGCAGGAGCAGCACGGAAAATGGATCTCTCGAACACCGAATGCAGGAGGAAGAGGGGTTTATTATGTCGGCCGGGAGCCTGGGCAATAATTTGTCCAAAACCCAGCTCAACTGAAAATGGGAGGTTCACCATTTATACAGGCTTATACTTTAGATATTACAGGTGAAAGAATATTAGGTTCACAGTTTTAGGAATCGCATGGGAAACGGTTTCTGTTTACAGTTTCAGGAGTCACATAGGAAAGGGCTCCAGTTTACAGTTTTAGGACTGACAAGTAAAACGGATTCTGTTTACAGCTTCAGCAGTCACATAAAAAAGAGCTCTGGTTTACAGTTGTAGGACTCACATGTAAAACGGTTTATGTTTATCGTTTCAGGAGTCACACAGGAAAGGGCTCTGCTTTACCGTTTTAGGACTCACATTTGAAACGGTTTATGTTTACAGTTTCAGCAGTCACATTAAAAAGAGCTCCGGTTTACAGTTTTAGAACTGACAAGTAAAACGGTTTCTCTTTACAGTTTCAGCAGTCACATAGGAAAAGGCTCCGGTTTACAGTTGTAGGACTCACATGTGTAACGGTTTTTGTTTACAGATTTAGGAGTGACATAGGAAAGGGCTCGGGTTTGCAGTTTTAGGACTCACATGTGAAATGGTTTCTGTTTACACTTTCAGGAGTTACATAGGAAAGGGCTCCGGTTTAGTTTTAGGACTGACAAGTAAAATGGTTTCTGTTTACAGTTTCAGCAGTCACATAAAAAAGCTCCGGTTAACAGTTGTAGGACTCACATGTCAAACGGTTTCTCTTTACAATTTCAGCAGTCACATAAGAAAAGGCTCCGGTTTATACTTTTAGGACTCACATGTGAAACGGTTTCTGTTTACGCTTTCAGGAGTCACATAGGAAAGGGCTCCGGTTTACAGTTTTAGGACTGACAAGTAAAACGGTTTCTATTTACAGTTTCAGCAGTCACATAAATAAGAGCTCCGGGTTACAGTTGTAGGAGTCACATGTCAAACGGTTTCTCTTTACAGTTTCAGCAGTCACATAGGAAAAGGCTCTGGTTTACACTTTTAGGACTCACATGTCAAACGATTTCTTTTTACCGTTTCAGCAGTCACATAGGAAAGGCTCCGGTTTACAGTTTTAGGACTCACATGTGAAACGTTTTCTGTTTACAATTTCAGGAGTCACATAGGAAAGGGCACTGGTTTACAGTTTTAGGACTGACAAGTAAAATGGTTTCTGTTTACAGTTTCAGCAGTCACATAAATAAGAGCTCCAGTTTACAGTTTTAGGACTCACATGTGAAACGGTTTCTATTTACAGTTTCAGCAGTCACATAAAAAAGCTCCCGGTTTACAGTTGTAGGAATCGCATGCCAAACAGCTTCGCTGTACAGTTTCAGCAGTCACATATGAAAGGGCTCCGGTTTACAGTTTAACGACTGACAAGTAAAATGGTTTCTGTTTACAGTTTCAGCAGTCACATAAAAAAAGCTCCGGTTTACAGTTGTAGGAATCACATGTGAAACGGTTTTTGTTTACAGATTTAGGAGTCACATAGGAAAGGGCTCGGGTTTGCAGTTTTAGGACTCACATGTGAAACGGTTTCTGTTTACACTTTCAGGAGTTACATAGGAAAGGACTCCCTTTTACCGTTTTAGGACTGACAAGTAAAATGGTTTCTGTTTACAGTTTCAGCAGTCACATAAAAAAGCTCCGGTTTACAGTTGTAGAACTGACAAGTAAAACGATTTCTATTTGCAGTTTCAGCAGTCACATAAAAAAGAGCTCCGGTTTACAGTTGTAGGAATCACATGTGAAACGGTTTCTGTTTACCGTTTCAGGAGTCACATAGGAAAGGGCTCTGCTTTACCGTTTTAGGACTCACACTGTGATATTGTGCCAGAATTGCTAGCCTTTGCTTTAGTTATTTAGTAATAACTAAAATAAGCAGCCCAGGATAACTAAGGTCTGTGTGTAAACAAATGCTTATCTTGACTTCTGTAAACCACTGAAGTAACAAACAGAATGACAAAAGTCCCCTGGCCCTTGGAATGTCCGGAGACCCCCGCCCTCATCTCCACCCAGGAGGTGAATTACAGAATCCCCTGGCCCTTGGAATGTCCGGAGACCCCCGCCCTCATCTCCGCCCAGGAGGTGAATCACAGAATCCCCTAGCCCTTGGAATGTCCAAAACCTTTTCATCCCCATCCCCGCTCCTCACCCCCACTCCCAAGGTGGTTTTTTGGGTATAAAAAGTCTTGGCACCCTCCTTTTGACGCCACAGGTTGGAGAGACGTGAGTCCTCTGTGGTCGCCGGCATAATAAATGACCCTGCAATCTGGCATACTTTTGTCTTGGTGATAACTTTCTACGCTCGGTCCAATACAACAACACGTGAAACGGTTTCTGTTTACAGTTTCAGCAGTCACAGACGAAAGGGCTCCGGTTTACAATTTTAGGCCTCACATGTGAAACGGTTTATGTTTCCAGTTTCAGCAGTCACATAGCGAAGGCTCTGGTTTACAGTTTTAGGATTCACACGTGAAATGGTTTCTGTTTACAATTTCAGGAGTCACATAAGAAAGGGCACCGGTTTACACTTTTAAGACTCACATGTGAAACGGTTTCTCTTTACAGTTTCAGGAGTCACATAGGAAAGGGCTCTGATTTACAGTTTTAGGACTCATGGCCGGGCATGGTGGCTCATGCCTGTAATCCAAGCACTTTGGAGGCCAGGTCGGTCGGATCATCTGGGGTGGGGAGTTCAAGACCAGCCTGACCAAAATGGTAAAACCCCGTCTTTAAAATAATAATAATAAATAAATATATATACATAAAGGACTCACATGTGAAAAGTTTTCTGTTGGCTGGCGGGCACTGATGGCGGCAGGTGATCGCAACGTGAATCTAGGCACCCTCGGGAGTGGCAGCGAAAGTAGTAGGGGAGGCAGCCAGGAGAGCCCGGGTCGCGCGGGAGCGTCAGCGGAAGGGGGCGGCTGGGCGGTGGCGGTTGGCTTTTCTGCTGGGGGGCGTGGAGATGTTCCTGAACATGGCGCTGGTGGCGCTGGTGCTGCTGGGGGCCTACCGGCTGTGGGTGCCCTGGGGACGGCGGGGTCTGGGGGCCAGGGCCGCGGCGGGCGAGGATAGCCGCGCCGCCTCTCTTCCTCGCATGAAGAAGCGGGACTTCAGCTTAGCGCAGCTGCGCCAGTACCACGGGTCCCGCAACCAGCGCATCCTGCTTGCAGTCAATGAGAAAGTCTTCCACGTGACCAAAGGCAGCAAGTTCTACGGCACGGCGAGTCCATATGGAATATTTGCTGGTAGGGATGCCTCCAGAGGACTGGCAACATTTTGCCTAGATAAAGACGCACTTAGAGATGAATATGATGATATCTCAGATTTGAATGCAGTACAAATGGAGAGTGTTAGAGAATGGGAAATGCAGTTTAAAGAAAAATATGATTATGTAGGCAGACTCCTAAAACCAGGAGAGGAACCATCAGAATATACAGATGAAGAACATACCAAGGATCACAATAAACAGGATTGAACTTTGTAAACAACCAAAGTCAGGGGCCTTCAGAACTGCAATTCTTACTCCCTTTCACAGAATGTCCAGCATCTTTGGGTTTGATTTACCTGCTGCGAAAAACATTCAACAAATTGTGTACAAGATAAATGAATCTCACTATGAAGATTTGAATACTAGACATTATTTATGCTGCCAATTCATTTGTTGCAGTTGTTTGTAATGTTTTAGTGGGGTTTCATCATCCTGAAAAGAAAGAGACAGGGATTTTTTTAAAGAGCAAGAAAGTCACAAGATTATTTCTTTCCTTTCCTTCCTTTTTTCCTCCTTTCCTTCCTTCTTTTCTCTTTCTTTCTTGTTAAAATATATTGAAGACAACCAGATATGTATTTGATACTCAAGTGTACAATTCTCCTCAAGAAACATCAAGGGACTCCTATGTCGCATACTGTGTTTTTATTTTACCATTGGTGAAGGAGGAGACCTGAGCAGGGGAGGTGGCGGGGATACACAACAATTCGAGTAGTTTGGGCTACTGAAACATTAAAATGTGAATTCCCAGGCTTTCTTTTTGGCTTTGTCAGGGAAAAGAAAAATATCTTTATTTCTAAGAAATCTTTGGAAATTAAGAGAAGGAATTTCAAGTGGGTTTAAGTCAGAACTAGTTCCCCAATAGAAAGACAATTTTAAACCAGTTTTTATCCCTTCTCTTTCCTTCCCTTCCCCTCAATCGAATCAATATTAATTGTGACTTATTTCACTTAACATAGACTTGAATTATTTTTAGGGAAAGCCCCTATAATAAATTCAGAAGTTACCACAATCAGCATTAAGTTGGAATATTCTGTTGACCACAAAACCTTGATATCATTCTGTATATGTAGAATGTAAAAGGAATATTTAGTGTTAACTGCCATATATGTAATATACACAAATTTAATGGCCAAATGCATTCCCCCGTGCTTTTCTCTTTTCAAAGAAACTGAAAAACAAATCAGTTCCTATCCCCTACAGCTGCCTAATTTTAGGAGTCTGACCCTCCATATCTCACTGGTGTGGGTGCATGGGGCTGTGGAGTGGATGTCTATGTGGGTGTGTCTGAATGTGTGTGAGAGTGCCTTGGAAGGGACTCTTTCTGCAGATACTGTAAATACAAGTACCATTTTAATGAAGCATGTACAATAAACCAAAATAAGCTTGAGTTGGACTTTATATAAAACAATGTAAGCCAGTGCATTATGATACAGTTGTAAGATTGTGCATTTGATTCAAGATAAGGAAAATCTTGGAAATGAAAAGCAGACACTGGTTAACCAAGTTGTACACATTGTACCACATTCAGCATAACTTTAGGAAGAAATTCCACTTTGTGGAACATTCTCTGGAGATCTGAGATTATTCAGGTAAGAATTGGTATATTAAAATATACATATTTTTACTTTATATTTTGAATGCCAACTGATTATACAAGATTATAGCACTCCAGGTGGTAGTTATTGAACACAAGACATTAAAATATTATACTGATAGACATTAAATTATTCTTAGGTTGAAAAAGCCCCACATATGTCAGTTATTTGATTTCATTATGACTACTTAGGTTCTGGGCTGGGGACAAGTTCACTTAGACAAATTTAACAAGTCACCAGTTAAAGACTTCTGCTTTATAGAACTATGCAGGAGCCATCAAACAAAGGGTAATTTTAACTGCAACAATAAGCTAAAGTATGTGAAATCCTACATTCTATTTGGTCTTGGAGCGTTTTATAGAAAGTTGTCTTTAGCCAAATCTTTGCTGAAGACTGATTGTGGAGTGTTGGTAAGCGCTGTGTGTGTTTTTATGTAAAATATTTTCTAAACAAAAAATTTTGTTAAAAGTATATGTCCTTGGTAGTAAACTGATTATGTATGAATCATTCGAGCCTAAAGTCTAGTAATAAATTGTGCTTGTGACTAGAGAAACCGTAAATATACATGCAGTAAAAATAATGTGGTATGTTAAAAGTGAATAATTTGGGCCGGGCGCGGTGGCTCAAGCCTGTAATCCCAGCACTTTGGGAGGCCGAGGCGGGTGGATCACGAGGTCAAGAGATCGAGACCATCCTGGTCAACATGGTGAAACCCTGTCTCTGCTAAAAATACAAAACATTAGCTGGGCATGGTGGCGCGTGCCTGTAATCCCAGCTACTCAGGAGGTTGAGGCAGGAGAATTGCCTGAACCCAGGAGGCGGAGGTTGTGGTGAGCCGAGATCGCGCCATTGCACTCCAGCCTGGGTAACAAGAGTGAAACTCTGTCTCAAAAAAAAAAAGTGAGTAATTTGGGTTTTGGACGTGAAATAAACCATGTTCTGTAGATAATTCCTCCAAAAAAAAGAGAAAAGGTTTCTGTTTACAGTGTCAGGAATCACATATGAAACGGTTCCAGATTACAGTTTTGGGACTGACATGTGAAATGGTTTCTGTTTACATTTTCAGGAATCACATAGGAAAGGGTTCCGGTTTACAGTTTTAGGACTCACATGTGAAACGGTTTCCTTTTACAGTTTCAGGAATCACATATGGAAGGGTTCCGGTTTACAGTTTTAGGACTCACATGTAAAACGTTTCTGTTCACAGTTTCGGGTCACATATGAAAGGGTTCTGGTTTACATTTGTAGCACTCACATGGGAAACGGTTTCTGTTTACACTTTCAGGAACCACATATGAAAGGGTTCCGGTTTACAGTTTTAGGACTCACATGTGAAACGGTTTCTGTTTACAGTTTCGGGAATCACATAGGAAAGGGCTCTGGTTTACAGTTTTAGGACTCACAGGAGAAACGGTTTCTGTTTACAGTTTCGGGAATCACATAGGAAAGAGTTCCGATTTAGTGAAACGGTTTCTGTTTATAGTTTGAGGAGTCACATAGGAAAGCGCTCCGGTTTACACTTTTGGGACTCACATGTTAAATGGTTTCAGGAGTCACATAGGAAAGGTCTCCGGTTCACAGTTTTAGGACTCACATGTCAAACGGTTTCTGTTTACCGTTTCAGAAATCACATAGGAAAGGGTTCCGATTTACAGTTTAAGGACTCACATGTTAAACGGTTTCTGTTTACTCTTTGGAAAATCACATATGAAATGGTTCCTGTTTATAGTTATGACACACATGTGAAACGGTTTCTGTTTACACTTTCATATGAAATTGTTCTGGTTCACAGTTTTAGGACTCACATGTGAAAAGGTGTCTGTTCACAGTTTTAGGAATCACATAGGAAAGGGTTCCAGTTTAAAGTTTTATGACCCACATGTAAAATGTTTCTGTTCACAGTTTCGGTAATCACATATGCAAGGGCTCCGGTTTACAGTTTTAGGACTCACATGTGAAACGGTTTCTGTTTACAGTTTCTGGAATCATATATGCAAGGGTTCCGGTTTACAGTTTTAGGACTCACATGTGAAAAGGTTTCTGTTTACAGTTTCAGGAATCACATATGAATGGTTTCCGGTTTACAGTTTTAGGAATCACATGTGAAAAGGTTTCTGTTTACACTTTCGGGAATCACATAGGAAAAGGTTCAGGTTTACAGTCTTAGGACTCACACGTGAAAAGGTTTTTGGTTTGATCTTGATTAAATGAAAATAGCGGCCGGGCGCAGTGGCTCAAGCCTGTAATCCCAGCACTTTGGGAGCCGAGGCGGGTGGATCACGAGGTCAAGAGATCGAGACCATCCTGGTCAACACGGTGAAACCCCGTCTCTACTAAAAATACAAAAACATTAGCTGGGCATGGTGGCACGTGCCTGTAATCCCAGCTACTAAGGAGGCTGAGGCAGGAGAATTGCCTGAACCCAGGAGGCGGAGGTTGTGGTGAGCCGAGATCGCGCCATTGCACTCCAGCCTGGGTAACAAGAGTGAAACT